TGTATTAGTCTTTGTTATATGGTATTTTTCCACACTGATTTTATAGCAGACAGAAATGCACTACTATGTATCATCCAAAGTCCACAATTTTATTCATTACAGAATCATTACTGTGTTATACACATATTTAATTACAGTATTTATGTAGAATCACAACTTGTAAAGATAACATTAACTTGCACATGAGAGTCTGTACTTCCAAGAAGTTCAACCTGGACACTTTAGTAGAAAGCAATAACCACAATTATTAGTTTCTGACAATTAGTCATTCTGTACAGAAATGTGAACAGGTAAGCATACTTATATATTCAAATGTTGAAGGCAACGTTATATGCTTCTCAAGATCTGTAATGAAAACTCTCAACTCATTACAGAGGTTACAGAATTCTAACTGATACCATGTTTTAAAAACTCATATCCCATATCTGTATCTCTCAGATTGCTACTTACATAAAATTTTAAGTAACTATTCTCAAACAAAAGCGTGACTCACTCTTCTCAGTTACACCATCTTGCTCTGCTTCCACAGAAACACAAATGAGAAACAGCAGACCCACATATGATCATGCATGATAAGCAATGTCACCTAGGGCATGGCCTACAGGTAGACTATAGTCTTTCAAATCATGCTGTCGGTTGGTTTACATACTTTTCATGATATACACTGAAACATTTTTACAGTACCAAATTCCCCCTTCTGGAGCCACTCCATAGTGAATGGCCGCATTCCTATAAATCCAAACCAATATTTTATCAACAAAATATGAAAAACTGGAGGACCCAATGTTATGAATAGAATTGTTCAAGATAAAAAAACCAGCAGCGTGGTAACAAAAAAAACACAAAGGACAAAGACTCAGTATGTTCCTATGAGCTTTTGAGAAATTCTGTTTCATCTTACCTTGCCTGTCATTAAACTGATATATGAAGATCATAATGATAAACTGTATTTATCAGATCATACCTATTCTGGAATGCTCTTTTTTCACTTTCTACTTCATTAAATATCTGGAGATGATATATCACATAAATCATATTTGGGAATGACCCTTATTCACTTAGAAGTCCAATAAATGCATGAGGAAAGAAACAGTACCTGCTGTAACACTGTAAAAATAATCATAATCATAGACTTGTATCACGAACTTCATAATTAGTTCCTTAAATAACTCTTAATTTCATTCAGCAACATGGAACCTATTACCATTTTTTCACAGTTAACAGAAATGTTGGCTTGATCGTTCTCCAGTATTTTAATTGTTACCAGGACCAAAGACTTTGAAGACAAGGTCTGACCTGCAAACCTGAAAACAAAGGACACAATTACTGAACCACTATAAAAGAAATACTGTCCTGTTTTTATGTTCTGACAGTCATTTTTCACAGTTTGACATGCTTATATTTTGTATTTTGTAATTTATTTTCTCTTTTCAAGACATGATATATACAGAAACAAATTAAGTGTAGTTATTGTTTAATTTGCAAGTAACAAGGTACATAGATATTTGCAGCTTATATGTAATCATCAGGTATGTGTATTGATTTATATTTCTTACCGATGCTGGCATAACTACCTCTGCCAAAAGAAGGATGGGCAGACAAGAGACAGAGAGAATTGTTGGTGCTACATGCATTTTTTTAACTATTAAGTAATCTTGTCATTGTACAGGCTAAACATATCTGACAAAGGCACTGCAACTGACACTAACTTACCTGAGAGATTTTGAATCAGTGCTAGGAATAGATGCTACATTGGCTGCTTCAAAGACTCGCTGACAAATTGTCTTTTGATCAATACAAGATGAAACCAAATTCAGCACAGCATTGTGTTCATTCATACCTCTCAGTTTACCTACAAATAAACACATATCCATAGATTATGTCTTTCCCGCAACTGTCGTTTTCCCGTATTCATCGTTTTTATTTCTCTCCCCCAACAAAAACGATGCATCGAGATTTCACTGTATCCACTTTGAAACCATTTATGCTGTATGCTCTTGTTTGAGACTCACCACAGCCAGCAGTCAACTGAACAATTCTGATAAATGTATGTTGATTTTGAGATGCATATGAAGGCATAAGTCTTCTGCCACAACGTCAATGTACTGGCTTATTAAATAACTTTTTTGAAGCTATCATAAACATTTTAAGTCATCTTTCATGTAAACAATTTAAAGTGTTCTTAAAAAATACCCCATGCACTTATCTTACTAAAATTGCTATCTATCCATGGCAATCAATTTGCTTCTGTCCTTTTCTCATATGTACCACATTACCTAATTTCAACTGAAATATTAAAACTAATGAAAATCAAAGGCAGAAAGATGTCATATGTTCTCTAGAGATACTACAAGCTTCTTATGATTATCTAGAACTCACTCTGTTCAGTGATAAAGAGAGGCTCTGGCATGGTGACTGCTCGAATCAACTCGCCTACTGGAGCTCTAATAGTGACTTGATTATGGTGTCCTCCCACAGTAATGTTAAAGCTCACTGGCTGCGTTGAGTCATTGAAATCCACACCTATTGTCCCAGGAACGGTAGCATTTATTGGCAGAACCGAAATCATTGCAAAGTCATGCATAGACATACCAGATGGCAGATTCTGTAAAGACAATGAAAAATTTAATTTGCATACCATGACTGTGTTAACTTCTAATTATTTATTCTCTATTAAAATTACATATAACAAAACTTATTTATTACCATTAGAATAATTTAATATTTTGGTTAACTGTATAAGACGGCATGTGTGATTCTGTGCTTTTAGTAGTAGTAGTGTGTTCCCACGAATTTTGTTATGTGCACGAGGTCTGACAAACTGATGTTTAACGCAGCAACTAACAAGATGGGTATATGTGTGTTCTGAAATACAGCTGTTTTGTGTCAAAACAGTCATTGGGACTCAGTTTGTTTTATGGATGCAGTAAGAGCTTCATTGGCAAAGTATTTTGTTCGTTAAAAGATAGGTGATGAACTATTATAGCACAGAATAACATTTTTAAACAAATCATAGGAAAATACTCCTGACATTTACAAATGTTACAAGTTTATGGAGGGGGAACAATGAACAGAACACCAAATCTTCTTCTTCTATGGCTCTCTGGTCCGTATTCGGTCCATGGCCTCCTCAATTCTCCCCTTCCATTCGGTCCCCTGTTAGGTCTGTCTGTCCGAGGCTTTGATTGAGGTTTTGAAACATCTTCCTTTTTACAGTGCAAGGTTGTTAGCCTGGAGGACCCAGAACACCAAATGTTGTGTGTATTTAAGATGGAAGGAAATATGTTACAAAGAATGAAAAATCCAGCTGCCAACTTCAAGAACCAATTCAAATGTGGAAATTTTATTTAAATGGTGAGACATGATCACTAACTAGCAGTTTGGAAGAAAGCAGAACAGCAGATGAAGAGAAAAACAGTGACCTTGATTTTTTAATAAAAGAACCCTGAACACAAAGAAAAGTTTTTTCTGAAATGATATTAAAATTTTCAGCAGTAAGCAAAGAATGAGAAAAGAAATATTCTTGAATCTTTCAGTAAAATTACTGGCAGAACCCAGTCTACCGGAAAAAATAATGACTAGTGATAAGACCTGGGTTTCACAGTATGACCAAGAAACAAAACACTGAAGCCATCGCTTATTCAGAATTATAACACCAGCTAATAATCCATAATCTAAATAAAGAAGTAAAAAGTACCTACTTTCTGACTAATTCTGATGTCCATCAGCTCTTCAGAACTCAAGTTAGTAAATGTGAGCTCAATAGACACCATAGCTGGAGAAAAAAGGTGTGGTGACCGAGTGAAACGGGAAAGTATGTGTAGCCCTCGGCCACTGATCTTGTTCAGCAATTCTGTTGTTTTCATGGGAATGAAACTTGGACTTGCAAGCTGCAACAAATACAAAAGTGCTGCACTGTAACTGTTTGTTACCCAATTCTTATCATATAAAATTTGTCCTAGAAGGCCTGTAAGTATGTGGACTATTGAGTCAGCGTAAGTAGCAAACATTTTAGGCATATTTCAAGTTGCACTATACTATATAACTATGTAACCAATTTATTTAAACTAATTTGGGTGTTATTATGAAAGTGTCAACACAGCAACAAGAAAATTAAACAAGACATAATACTAGGCCACGGTTTTTTTAATAAGAATTTCCTATCAATATGTTATAGGCATTTCATACTCCCTAAGTGCATTGACTTAACTATCTTATCAGCATTTTAAGAGAGCAGTAAAACTATTAAAATTGAACATTTAAAACAGAAAAATATATAAAAATGTTATCTCTTGTTTTGTATGGCTGATAAACTGATGTTGTTACTGCAACAGAGGAATGGAAGTTGTAAATGCTAAGGACATCATTTAAACCTCATAAAGAAGAACTGATTGTGGAATATGAGAGTTACATACCTGAATAGAAACTGATGTAATAGGCATTCCATGTGTTGAAAGAGGTGTGAGGAACCCACCTAAAGATGGTGTGAGTACAGGTGTTATAGTTGGCGGAACTGTGGAGAAAAATAATTTGTGAGGCAGTGTCTGAAAATGGTAAGTGGGCGTTCATGTAAACCAGGTTTAGTGTTCATAAAATGGGGAAAGAATGTGTGTAGTAATTATTAACAACTTCCACTTACAATACTGTGTACCTAAATACAGTAAAGTAATAAATACAATATCTGAAGAGGCATCTGAGTAGCAGTAATTAGAGGCTTGGATAAGGATACATTTGGCTCTAATTTTTGTGCATTTTGAATACACAATACAATTTAGTGTAGAATATGAATTTGGAATTTGAAACAGTACAGTATTTAACATGAGAATATAACTGCAAAACAGTTTTCAGTACGATGGGACAAGACATTTTAAAATAAAGATTTGAAAAAGTAATGTACATTTAAATCTATTGCTTGACATTCTTTTCATAAAATTCCCCTCACCCAAACAGTCCATTAACCTGCATCACATACCTTTCTTCTAAAGGAATAAAACATTGCATGTATTAAACCCACTATCTCAAAAGGATCAGAATTTGAATAAGTACAGTACTTTCTGATACTTCTGAGCATATCACGTACAACCTTCACCTGTTACTCTTTACCTGCAACTTACCATCATCCAATTCTAACAGAAGGTCAAGGTTGCTCTTTGGTTTCGTTACTGACTTTGTACTGTCATCACTGACAGTCTTGGTAGGACCTTCCTTTGCTGCTGGTTTCTTCTTATCAGCTGAAGATGATTCTGATGAGTCACTCTTTTCTTCTTCAGAGGAATCATCCATGGTTTCACCACTGTCAGATTCTTCTGATACCTCATTATTGTCCTCTTTTCCTGCCTTCTTCAATTCAGTCTTTTTTTGTTTTGCATTGGCCTTCAAATTTAAAGCACAAATATATTATATTTTACGTGTCATTTATATTGAAAATATAAATATTCTAATAAAACAACCTTAATTTAGATATTTACATTAGTGGAATTAGTACATAGTAATTATAAAACAGTACATGCTAGAAAGAAAATGAAACAGTAATTGTTCCTTGTTACAACAATTTATGATAAATAGCATTTTATTCTTGTAATACTATACAAGAGCACTGAAATAAATGCCACACAGTTCTAAATGTACAAACTTGTTTTAAAGTTGAAAGGAATTTTTCTTTATTACGCTGTGACCTTTACAGGAGGTAGGCGACATATTATGAACAGGATCCTTCCATCCTTTTCTCGGACTGGGACCTGTTCATATATGTTTTTTAGGCAGGTGATACAGAAGTGGTTTGCCATTGCCTTCTTCTGTGTGTATGGAGTAATTGTTGGGATGCCACAGAGAAACCGGGGAAGCCCCGGAGGAAAACTCTGTGTCACCTAGACCACGGCCTTGCCCAACACAAGTTATAAATTCAAGCACCGCCGGGAATCGAACCCGGGACCCCAGGATTGAAAGGAATAGAGCCATGCAAAATCAGAATTAGCTAAACCAAATGACTTAAGTATTTTAACAAAATGTTAATCTGAATAAACATTGTAGAATAAAAATGAAATTACCTCTGTGTGAATTATAAAATCACACCTTTTAATATATGATCGCTAAGTTAGGAATTTAACACATGCAAGTGTACGGAACTCAAATAAACCAGATAGGGAAAAATTAACTCCCTCCATACATCACTGTTGGCATCTTACATGAGCCAAAACAGGGATTGTTCAGGCCACAGAAAATTCCTAATCTCATTTTAGGTAGTAGCCCACATTTTCACTAAACAAATGTACTGCATTTCACACTTCAAAAATATAAACACATTTTTATGAACAAAAATACAGTAAACAATGCACATCATTTAATTTACTGTACTGTTTTACCTACACACACAGTAATGGCCATGCCACTTTTTAATCTATAAAGCCACCTCTGAGAATAATCAGTTGTATATAAGTCTAAATACTGCACGTAATATATCGGCTTGTTCCACAAACTTTTAGTTTGTAATTGTGAAAATGTAACTAAGACTTACTTTGTCCTTCTTGTTTGCTTCAGGTGACCTCATTCTGCTATGGGTTGTGTTATTCCATTCAAATTTTTGAACGTATTGTTACATTTATTATATACCTTTGTTTCTTTCTCCTCTCCTGATTCTCGTACATCACTGTCTGAGCTCTGCGATTCACTGTCTTCCCTGCTACTATCATCCTCTTCTGAAGAAGAATCTTCGTCTTCACTTGTACCTTCTTCACTGCTTTCCTCGTCTGAATCTGTAGCATAAGAACACAATATAAGCACAGTAAGTTCTGGAACACACAGTTTGATTAAAACTTATTATAATGAGATCAGGAATCAGATGAAATGCTTCAGTCACCACTGGAATCAAGTATGCTAAGGGTATTAATGTGCAAAGTTAACTACCATTTTAGATTAATATATTCTACTCTTTTCCTCTTTGACAGTACACAATGATTTGCATCAGCAAAAACTGGCAATAAAGCAACACTAACATTTTAGAAGTTCCTGTTAATGCCAGAATTTGCATAGTGCTAGCACAAACTAGCATCTCTCATATTATTTTTTTATGCCAGAAAACTTTGTCACACAATAAAAATTATGTATCTTCACAAGATTTTTTTTTTGAGCGCCACAATTTTTCAAAACCCCGAAGGGACTTTGTGGACAACTGTATATGTACTCACTTTAACCCAAGACTGACCACGCATATGTACAAATTTTAGCATAGTTAAAAGGACATTTCATTTAAAATATATTCAAAATGTACCTCTATTTAGAAATAAGAAGAAAACAAATTCTGGAATGCTACGCTTACTTGCATGATTCTAAGGAGAGATGTAATGTTCAGCACAGTATGAAATGCCATGAATGTTATTAATTTCAAAAAGATAGAATCATACAACTGAAATACCTTCATCAACAGGAGAGCTTTGCTCTGATTCTGAATAGAAAGAACGTTTCTTCACTGTGTGTTGCTTCTTGACACGTGTCTCTTGAACAGGCACAATCAGTTCAACATCTCGGACAGAAGAATCAGAAGGTGCGTCAGGAAATGCAGGTAGGTCGTGATAACCATTTGCTCGAGCATTTATGTAATGGGACAGAGAACCCAACTGGAACTGTTCCCGATCTGGAAAATATAATTACTGTTCTATGACTGATATATGGAATATACTTATATTTCTAATATAAAAACATCAGACGTTAATTCCTTCTGCTACAGTAACTCATATATCCTGTAACAACAATAATAATGCTGGTACTGACAGAAGTGGTAGCAGTAATACTAGTACCAACAATACCAACACTGGTGATGATTATTTTAATAATAACATGTGGTTTTTTCAGAGTCAAGTTTCTTTAGTACATCCAAAATTAAACAAAACTTCAAACAGTAAAATTCAGGTAGCCTAATACCTTTTTTGCTTCAAAACATGGATTTATTATTATTCAGAGATTACACAAAATACAAATATAATGTATAATAACGTACGTTATATGGAGAAGTTAATTTTATATAGAAAGATATGAGCACATTACCTTTAAATTTTGATTCAAGTACAGGAGCTGGTTTTGTTGCAAGGAATATCTTCTTAGCGTGTTTTGTTAATTTGGAGTTTTCCACACCAGCGGATGGGAAGATGAACTGACGAAGAAACCTGGCTCGGTCTCGAATATCATAGTTCTGGTCATAACGGGCTAAGCTGAACACATACTGACAAAGCAGTCTTGTTTGCTTTGGGTTGGTAAGATAAAGTTTTACAGCAAGATTAAGAATCTGAAGTTTCACAATGTCCTCCTGAAATAAGAACATTATAAAATTTCATCTGAAATATAAGACAATATGGAGTCAATAGCAATGAAGCATTACATCAATCATGCTGAAAGCCTGCTAAAACAGAACCTTACTTAAATATAAATATACCTTCATCAGAAAAGAGATCCAAACAGGGGGCAATACATTACATTCTCATGATACACAAATTTATAAATTCTATCCTATCTATCCAAATACCATGAGCCTCCAAACATGATGTCCATCACAATTGTTAGTGTTCCAAGAAAAAAATTATTACTTGAATGTTTGTTGAGCATTTGTACATCAAACACTTATTATAAAATCTCTGGAAACATAACATTTGAAACAGAAAAATTCTAACAGATATAAAGAGTATGGTAAAGGAAAGAGAATTTTCCTACTTTAGCCCACAGAAATTCTGATACAAGGGCAACATTTATACATTCAAAACAGCAAAAATCCCAATTAGACCTCACAAGCTTAAGAGTAGAATATCAAAGCCTAAAGAGGAATTTTATCTGAATAAGATTTTTCACTTAGCGATGGACAGATCTGGCTATCTCTTATCAGTGTTTCTGAGGGAAAATCTTCCAGTAAAGTAAGTGACCTTTCTATTCTCAACTAACATCTATATTTTCAACAGAGAAATTTCAGTGTGTAGCACAATTCTTATGAGTTCAGTACCTCACTGATGAAAGTTTTGGCCATTTTGCGAAGCACATCCGGTGCAATCTTTGGGACTCGATCTGAATACTCCCCAAGAAGCCACAGTATGGAAGCCCTAGCCTGGGGAACAGTAATGAAGTCAACCAACTTTGCCATATGAATGATAATGTCTTTATGTTCATTGGGCTGTGTCTGAAGTAATTTCTTGATGACCACCACACTTTCAGCCACTACCGCCTCTGTACATAAAAGAAATTATGTCAGTACAGTTCATCATTTATAAATGGGATGGCATTAAGCTGCATTCTAGAAACGTGAGGTGTCTAAAAAAATTTCACACTTCATATTAAACACACTTGTTATAATCAAAGTACAAAAATAATCTTTGTTTAACCCTTTCTACAGTCTATACAACCTAAACAATTAGCCCTTTGAGTCTGAATGTATTTGGTAACAGAAACATCTCCCATAATCCCTCAGCAGCTAAACTGTTGCTTTTCACCAACTCAATTTATACGTTACAACGGAATATACCAGCAGAAGACTTCTGAAGTAACTTAGCACAATCATCAATGTCATACATATACATACAAAAACAGAATTTCACTATATAAAGCATTTAAAAATTTAAAACACCTAAAAATAAACAGAACTTTTTTCATCAAAAGTACAGATGCAGACACCATTCCTATTCAGAAGATTATGAAGAGCCTGTAAAAAGTTCTTGTTCTGACACAATCCTAATATGACTTTTTCCTTGCTATACAGGCAGAACACAAGCACCGAGCAACACTGTCAGGTTTAGCCAATCTTACAAAATGAAACCTGAAAGAACAGAACAAATTTTGAGGCTATCAACATTTCAAAGGAATCTTATATTGTTAAGACTATGTCTCTGTGGAACTGTGACCACTTATGGGCCCATTGTCCTTCCCGTGCTGATACATGGGTGAATATGGATTATCAGTGTCAATTCTTAGTGACCTTACCATCTCTATTAGACAACAATGACACCAGCCCATTCAAACATGAATCAGTCACTTCTTTTATGTTGGAGGCACATCTGAAATACCAAAATTACAAAATACTATTAATATAAAAAGAATTTTAAAAGTACATGTTTTAAATGTCAGCTACTGTAGTTGATAAACAATACCATGTAAAATTCAACAATTCTTCTGAAAAAATTCAATCATGGGCTTATAGTTCAGGTAAAATTACACTATTAGACCACCCAGTGGTGGAGAAACTGAAATAACACAAGGATGGAGAAGATACTTTACATTCACAAAATATGCATACCTGGACAGAAATGACTTGTTAATCTAAATGCACTCAAATTTTACAGCCAAGTCCTGTGGTATCTGAACAACATATGAATATGATTTAGACATTCATCTTGGTAAAGTCCTCAAAACAATCAAACAAGGGCAAATATTTTTATTTTTATACCAATAAGCTATGTTCCTCCTCCTGACATGCATCAAAATGAAAGCTCACCTTCAATCCAGTATAAGGATTCATACCTGTTTGTGGGATGATGTTTTGCCCATCAACACAGAACTATTTTTCAGAAAAATACTAGCCCAGCACTTCCTACATTCCTCTACACTATCATATTTCACAAAAAGGCCCTCTGTCAATTGGATTCTAAAAGGCAATTATTTGATTTTCTTCCCTTATTTTCTTGAGAAATAGTAACTTAATTTAGTACCTTCCAATGGCCTGAATAGCAGCAGCAACAAATTCCTTATCGTGGCTTGAAATGTAAGTCTGGAATTCACGAAGAATCACAGAAATACTTGTTTCTGTGGCCAAGTTTGTAAGAATTTCTAATTTCAGAAGCTTTATATGAGTCGGGTCACTAGTTCTTACAAAGAAGCTCTTCAGGAAGGGTTCAAACATTCCCTGAAAAAAAGAATTCATTCTGTATGATTGCACAAAAAACATACATATAATATATATATATCCCTTTAAGTCTGATGGAAGTCATGCTAAAATTAACTATCACTGCATTAGGAAACAAATGTTCATGACAGGAGTGACACCAAAATCTGCCAATGGAAACATAGTCCTAACCTACTTCCAGCCACCTCCCATCTTCATAACCTATCTCCCTCACATTCCACCTTGATATTATCCTCCCATCTCCTTCTCATTCTTCTAAGTGGATGTTTTACAGGATGCTTCTCTACAAAAATTCTCCATGTATTCCTCATCTCCCCCCACCCTAGATACATGTCCAATTCATTGAAGTCTCCTAAATTTTACTAACCCAACAGTAATAGGTAAACTGTATAAATCTCAATATATTCTCATGCAATTTAATATTGGAACCTCTTAACAAAATCCAACATATAAAGTTTACTTTCAAACCACAATGTAACAATGGCTTAGTACAGAAATATGAGGTTGACAATGTAATGTGATACATTTCAATAAAAATCCAACCTCATTTCTTCTACTCAGTGAGCCATTTTGAAAAAAAATGACCATAAAATTCAGAACTGCAGTTGCTGTAGAGTTCCTAGATTTCTCAAGTGGTAACAGTATCAAATATAAAATATTCTGTTAGCCTAACAAGATGAAAACAACTAAAAAGTTTAAAATTTGGAATCACATTTAAGATAAGATTTTACTGAATTTAATTTTGAACATATGAATGTAATTCATGTTGTGTATACCTTTCAAAGCATTTGTAAGAAACATGTACCTTTCTTAAAGTGGAGATGGATGCTATGCAATTCAGAACTACTGACTGAACTTCTCGATGTGACCTCAACAGTCGAATCAAAGCCTTTGCTACAACCATTACTTCTGACCTTGGAGCCAAATGATGGTAAAGCTGGGCAACTCCCATCACAACCTAAACACAACAAATACTCCTAGCAGGTATTAAAGAAAAAGTGTTTCTCAGCTGGCAAGCATATTTCAAGAACAAAAGAAATTAGTCAACTAAGCCTGTTTAAACAAATGAGACACAGTGTTTAAGCAGGTAACAGAAAGACTGATAAACTCTGTGATGACAAATACAGTAAAACCTCGATGCATCGTTTTTGGCGGGGGTGGGAAATAAAAACGATGAATACGGGAAAACGATAGTTGCGGGAAAGCATTAAAAATTTTAAAAAAATGAATGTTTCTCTTTCAAAGTTATTTCTTTTTACCAAAAAAGTCTTTAATGTACAACTGGTTTGTCGAAACTTTACGTTTTGGGCCAAACAGAGCCCTTTCCACGTTCAAAATGTTTTCCTCGTCACGTTCACTAATATTATGCGCATAAAAGAACGACTTCACCTTTGGCAATGCGTAGCTGTACCACTGAACCACTGGAAACGAGATGAACCAGAAGAATGAAAAGTGTCACCCGCCTTTCCTTTGTACTTATAATAAAAGCATTTGTGAAGAAATTCACACTGCACATGCCATCTGGCATCGCTGGAATGAAATAAGAGTGCACCCTAATTAAAGTCATAAAATTTCTGACAATGAGCACCGCCATTCGCTCCAACTATCACCCCTGCACAGCTGACCCCTCATTCCAAAAGAATCTGTGCTGGTTGGGCGACATAACAGGTTACCGCTACTGCGTATTCCAAAAACATTGTGCATCTTTCAGTATTAATTTATCTCAAAACCCAGCATTTTAAATTCTAAAAACATCACGTAAATTTCGTTATAATTTCTCAGAAACGATCATTGCGGGAAAATTATGGGCCAGGACTAAGATTTTTGAACGATCGATGCGATAAAACGATAGTTCGAGGAACGATAGAAGCAGGAAAATGTAACATTATTTTAAATGGGATGTATCCGGGACCGAACAAAACGGACGATGCATCCGGGAAAACGATAGTTTGGGGAACGATGGATAGAGGTTTCACTGTATCTCAAAATTAAATATACATATGATACATCATCAATTTATGTTGTGTGAATTTCAGAATTGTTGGACTGAGTATACAAGCTTTATACCAAACCTTGGTAAAGTTTCAAAACATAATTCTGTCTCACCGATGCATTACGACTCTGCAGAAGTGGCTTGGTATTTCTCAACAGCAGTCGGTGGTCATGATCCAATGTATATGTTTTCTTTGTTTTTTCCTCTTTCTTCTGTTCTTCACTATCACCCTCATCTGCATCATCATCATCTTCATCATCATAAAATGGTTTGTTCTGTGATTCTTCACCAACATCCTAAGTATAGTAAGAATAATTATACATGGTAAAGCCTCTGAAATGGGGCGGTCAAGGCCTGTAATAGGCTGTAGAACCCGTGATGATGATGATGAAAGCCTCTGAAATAAAAATATGTATGTATAACAAAGAAAACTATGATCCCCAATAATGCAATGTATCTGAATATGCCACCTCCACACAAAAATTATTCTCTGAAAACATTCCTACAGTAAAATGCACAACATGACCCTTATTTATTATTAGTCAGTAAATATCAAGCAAACAGAACTCTTGGGAGCCCTACATGTAGATGGAATAATAATATTAAAGTCAGTCTGGATCCATTTTGATCAGAATAAGGTCCAATGGTGGGCTCTTGTGAATACAGTACTGGACCTTAACTTTCCATAAATGGTAGGAAATGTCCAGATCAGCTGAGCAATTATTAGGTTCTCAAGAAGAACACTGTAGCATGAAGTTAATTATAAACTGAACTGATCTGGTACCCATATCTTTTAAAACATCATACCAGTGATCCAGGAATATACAAATGCAAGAATTTGTGTATGACTTCTCTTCTAATAGTATGCTTTGTTAACAAATAATTTTAAGTGTTGTGAAATACATACAGCTGATTACAGGATCACTATTCTCATCACACTGTATTAAAAGAACAAACAAGGAACATATTACAAGAATAGATACCCTTTTAAACTTACATCAGCATTAGGATCTGTGAACTGTGTTCGAGCATAACGTGTCAGCATATTGATTATAATGACCTGTCCCCATTCATCCACATCCACAAGAAGATTACACAGCTTTCTATAATTCTTGTGGATTAAATCAATGCGCTCTGGACACACCTGTAACAGACAAACTGAAATGTATAATTGGGTAGGAAATATATTACATGTTTAGGACAAACTAAGTGGTAGATGACGGAGGCGGTATGACCTCTGAAACGTTGGTAAACATCGACCAGACTACACAATGCAACAACCCAGAAGACAGAAATCTTCATACTCACCGCTGTGAAAACCTCAAATCTTACATAATTAAATCAATTTTGTCACATCAAGAAATTCTCTTATTTCATGATGGTGTATAAAATCTAAAAACTAGTTATGCAGCATTCACACAATTCGTTTTCCTATATGGAAGAATCATCTAGCCATTACATAACGTTTACATTTCTAATTATAAATCTAATTTCAAGAATTCTAATTAAACTAAAATTCTATTTGTTTTACTAATGGTCACAACCTGCATTAATTATATTAATTTATTCACAGACCTCAGACAACAGGAGTGAGTGTTTACTATGAACTGTGACAAGATTACAGATATAATGTTTTCAAAATTATAATACTATATTTACACCCCACATTCTGCATTTCAAAGAGAGTGACATCCAGTATTACCATCTCTTTGTGCCTACGTGGATACACATATGTATATACTTTGGCATATGCACATGTGTTTTGGGGTATATAAAATACTCCATATAGTCATTGTGTTACTTCCCAAACAATCCTCACAAAAGTTTTATACTTTGTACAAAAACAAGTTCTCATGCTATGAAATTATGTATCAGGCATATTTTCAGTGGCAATAACTTCTTCTCTTCCTGTTGTACATAACCTTTATGTAGTGTGAACACATTTATGTACAGATATTACATAAAATGGAGACTGTAACATACCTCTTCAAAAGCCATGACAGCTGAACCAACAACCAATGTTGTTTTGTCAGAAAGAAGCTTCTCAATAACATGGACCAATTCTTCCTTTTGTTCTTGATCTAAACTGAAAACAGAACAATCCCTTAAGATAAATGTAATTAAACATCACACAAGCAAACAAAGTTCTCGTCACTTCTGCTGTAAATTTGGAAGTATAATGTTCAACACACTATTCCTTAGGAATGCTAATGAGGTCATTACATAGTCAAATACTGAATGACTGAAATTTAAAAACATGAAAGTTGCCTGACAGCAAGTGGAAATGCATAAAAACAGCACTTCTCTATATCAAGTGTGAAAATATTTTCAGCTATAAAATTCAATACATATCAAAATTAGTCTCAAACCCAGGAAAAAACCAATACTAAGGGTTTATATTTATATCAAATTTATCTACCATGATTCCTAGACTTCAAAGTATGCTATCTTTCATGGTGATAAATTATTAGTACCCTGCGAAACCAAGTTTCACACTTACATAAGAAAGACAGCATTATAGTTTTGTATATTTCAATCTTCAAGAATTTAGGTACAAGACAGCAAGATAAATAATTCTGAAATGAATTACAGTAAGCATGCACTTAAACTCTTAAATGTGTTATTCCTAAATATTTACATGTTGCCACATTTCCTATATTTGTAACAATATAACTACATAAAGTTTAATAAATAAAGCAGTCTAAAAATGTACTTTACCTATAGAGTTTTGGTATTGCATGTGCGGCTGTCTTACGAACATAAGGTGACATATCAGAGGCAGAATCCTTTATTGCTAACATTACAATTGGCACAATCATGGGCACACGAATGCTAGAGAGCACACGAAGAGCACTTGCCCTTATTAACTGATTTGGATCCTAAAAAGAACAAATATACAGCTATTTTAAAGTGAACAGATAGCAAAAAAAGGCTGTCTTCCAGAATGCTGCACTGTGTTCTCTGGTTCATATTGACCAACATCAGAGGCAGTAAGCAATTCCATAACATCAGACCACACCGCAAAGCATGCCAGAAAACATATAAATCTTCATACTGACATATTTGGCATGTCACTGTGAAATGTGCAGTTGTTATAATATCAAGGTACATACAATAGTTTTACAAAAAAGAGTTTTCAAAAGCAAGCAGAACCTCAATTAGATTGTCAGGTGGCCTGGGCATATCTTGTTGGTGACTACCTGCATGCCAATCAGATATGTGAATTCCCAACACAGTCACTCCCCATGTAATAGATTCTCCTAACAGTGTTGACAGGTGAAGGACTGCTGGTTTCAACATGAAGGGCAACAGCCCACACTGCAAACATAACTAGTCTGCAACAAAAGTTCTTTTCTGAGTACACTGTTTGGTTTGCTCTTTGACTACTGTGATCAAGAGACGTTACCCAACCAGAATTTCTGTGGGCATTTCTCAGAGAAAGAGTTTGTTCAAATAACCCATGATGCATGGAGGAACTGAAACACAGTATTGAACACTGTTGCCAAAACTAACGTAGAAACACACCACAAAGTCACACAAAACACATTAAAAGGGGTTGTTGCTTGTCTTTGAGAAGGTGGTGGACATTTTTAGCATCTGCTGTAAAACTGTTCTGCAAGTTCTTAATAACAAATGTAAAAAACAACTTGTCTTGTTATATTGATGTCACCAATGCTTAAAGCTCATAAATACTGTTGCAGTTACCGTTGGAATTTGAATGGAACAATCTGTATAAGGCTGGAAACTACTGAATGTAGCACTTCTCATTGTTTTGCATTTTCAATATTTGGAAGACAGGCATAAGTGAAAAGCAATGCTGAAATAAAATGTGTACAAGCACTGATTCATAAGTTTAGGACAGGGCTTGGTAGCGAATGGGTTCTTGTAAAAATGGTAATGAACCTTCAATGTCCATAAAAGGTAATTTCTTGACCAGTTGAGAAATTATTATGTTTTCAAAAAGAACTCTGATTGATACAGTTCACTTTATATTTCCAATACTATTCTTAATATCGGAACAAAGGGCCTTGCCTTCAGAGCCCTCTGGAATGTTGATATGGAAAGTAGTGCCAGATCCTGCTGCTCTTCAGCATAACGTACAAGATAAACATATACCAATTTCTTGACCTCAATATTTTTTGAAACAACATTCTTCACAACAGCTGGAAAAAGATCAGATGCATCTCTTCCTTTTGCAACCATCTATAAAATAAAAATAAAAATTACATTCTCCACATAGAAATCTACATAGACAAGCAGCAGTCACGGTCATCACTGTTGTTGTTGTTATATTTTATTGTCATTAAGGTACTACATTCTTTATGCACACAATAAGACTGTAAAAACAAACTTGTCTATTGATGAGGCATAGTAATACAATCCACAAAATCCCTACCCTTCTTTGAACACAACCATAGGCCTATTTACAAACAAAAATCAACATAACCTTCATAAAGCATAAACCACTAATAACTATGTCACATATATACGTGTCAATAGTTGTATTTTGTCTATACAGAGTATACATCAGCTTTTTGGCTGTAAAAGAACGCAATACAACTTAAACAAAATGTGTTTAAATTTTGAACTTACCCCTATAATTCTTTTCATTGCCTCCAATTTTAAGCTGTCTTTATTGCTGTCCAGCATTTGTTTCAAATCTTCATGCCTGTAAAGAGCATTATCTTGTAGTTTTATTTATATTAACATTGTTAAGTTTTGTATGTCAATTTTACAGCCCAATAGAGATAATTTACAGAAACTGTAACACAAACTACACTAACATAGGTACAATACACAATGCACTTTGGTTCCCACGTCAGGCTTTCTTTCAGCACAGCTTTTAATTCATCATTCTGCCTTCCTGGCTAGGTTAGGTTAGGTTATGACAGGTCACATTAGCATAGTTTATGGGTACTCAGACTGCATCCTGCACCGTAACTCCTACACTAAAATTATATTTGACGTGCAATCTTATAGACCGTTTAATCCTGTAATATTACAAACATTAAAACGGCTTTTGCTGAACTGTCAGACACAAGTTAGATATAGCAACACAAACATGTAAGTCAAATATCGGAACGCAGTGCCACCATCCTGTTCCCAATACACACAACTTTTATGTCGTCCTTAAAAATCACTCACTTTTTATAGTCTGAATGAAAGAAACTACCCGATGCTGGATCAGCAGAATACTCTGGAGGTTCACCTCCAGATGACGGGCGGTCGTTGTTGTAAGAACCATTGCTCGCCATGGCGTATTTTTATACTTCAAAAATAATTACCAACTACTTCAACTTTCTTCTTTATGTACTGCACAAACAATGCCTGTTACTGGCACGAAACAGCTCAAAATTAATGGGTAGCACAAAACATTTACAAGTAGTTTTATTTATTGAAACACTGAATACGACACCCACCAAAACGTCTACGGTTAAAGTATGGGCTAATACAAAATTATTTCCTCTTAACACCAGATGGCAATACAGACGTAAAACTTCGTAAATGATCATTTAATTTTCCTCGATTTTCAAACCAGATAACAGATTTTCATATTTGTCATTAATTTAATTTCTTTTTATTAGCTAAAATTCGATTATCATAAATGCAGACAGTAGTGAAAGCCATTATTCACAAAAAGGAAGTAGAAACTTGTTACGATATTGTAGTAATGATTGTAAAACTTGTTTTGCCCACACAAACTGATGACAGGAATAAGTCTTTCCAATCACTTAAATCCAAACATTACACTATAGAGGAGGAAAGAAACCAAAAAGTTACTGTGCGAAGGTAAAAGGAATACAAGTAGCTTAAACGCAGTAGAATACGCAACAATTAAGATATTGACAAGACTTATAACCAGAAAACTAATTGAATTAGTGTACAACAGATACCAGACAAGCTATTTAGATTCAAACTAGGTAGCTTGACAATCCCCCCCAAATAACAATGAGGATGTTCTCAATGCCCAGAGGCAGAATTATTTGCAATATTTGTTAACTATTCAACTGCCTTGGACTTAATAAACAGGAATAAGCTTATCGGCTGGGGAAACTATTGTAATCGGGAAAGCCATTCTTTTGTCCAGGGCATTTTAGCACGTATGTATGTACAAATAGATGACACTGTCTCAAATCAAAATTAATAGCATAGACAAACGGCAACTTGCAAGTATAACCTCTCAGCCCATTACTACAGAACATAATCGCAGATAAAGCATAGGTATAAACCGTTAGTCATACTTTACAGGTATCACTTATTTATATATCGATTTTCCAGGAAATATTTTAAGTTATTAATGCTCACATTGTGTGGAACTAGTGTTCATAATTCTCCTGTGTTTTAATTCAAAAGTCCATTTAGTCAATTCAGGGGGTTGATGCAAATATGTCACGTGCACGTCTTCGTGTAATTGTTCTTGAGTATTTAGTGGGATTTACACTGCCCTTTTCCTGATTAAATTGTTTGTTCCCTTAACTAGAAAGGATATGTAAGATTATTACTTTGTGCCATGGTTATATACAAACACAAAAAATTAAAAATCTACGCAAACGGACATTTACCATTGGTGACCATTCGCATGTCTGCCATTACTATTATCTGTGGTAACTACCGTTTTTCGTCTATCGCATTTTCTCGTTGGTTCTGAGATACAGAGGTTTCTTTTCTACATGGCGAGTGGTGTGGTGTAGGCATAACAAGGATGAAGGTAAGTAATGTTTTAGTGACGTGTTTGTCGGCTGAGGAAATACTATTTTGGAATTTTATTTGTTGATCTGTATACTACTAGATTTATAAGTTTTACAGGCAGTGGCTTATAGGATGGTTGTTAATATAACTGATACTTATCGAGCCAGGACATGTAGGGTAAATACCACGAATTGAAGCAACTGTAACGTGTAAGTGCTGCATGTATTGTCCGTTATTTTAGCTGAACGTGTCCTACCCGGCGTCAGGATGTCAGAAATTGTTCGAAGTTACGGATGAACATAAGCTCCGTATATTCTATGAAAAACGCATGGGCTCTGAAGTTGATGCTGATGCATTAGGTGATGAATGGAAGGGGTACATTGTGCGTATTGCCGGTGGAAACGACAAACAGGGTTTTCCTATGAAGCAAGGAGTATTAACGAATGGTAAGTAGTAGTAGTAGTTTTTTTAAACTATAAAAGCATTACTTCCTGCTTGATGTTGCATGAGGTAATCAAGTGCTAATTGACTTTCACATAGTATCGTAGTAGATGTTCTGCGGCTTATGTCGTGTATAATCACACATGGAAAGCGAGGTGTTTCTTCAGTTATATGCATCTGTAAGTCACTCAGAATTGGATAATGTTTAATTTTTATATTGTCTTGGAGTGTAGCATAGTGATTCATTTTACAGGTCGTGTGCGCCTTCTTCTCTCTAAGGGACACTCGTGCTACAGACCACGTCGAGATGGAGAACGAAAGCGCAAATCAGTGCGTGGATGCATTGTAGATTCAAATCTAAGTGTTTTGGCCTTGGTTATTGTGAAGAAGGGAGAGCAGGTTTGTCTCATTTCATTCATAGTCAATTTATCACTTGGTCTAGGGACCTGACATTTTTGTATCAAATAGATTTTGGATGCATGTTTTGTTTAATCTTCAATGTGGCCATGTTAAATATATACAGAGCTTAGGGTTTTTTTTTCTTCTGATGACTATTGAATTGTCAGTGAATGTTATATTTTATATTTGCTGTGCCATGTGGAATGAGGCATTTGAAAGAAAAGAAGGTAAAATTTGTCCCTTTAAACAATTTTTAGTGTTCTCAGTTTTTGCTTTGATTTGTAATTGAGCAGTAATATGGCAAGATACAAGCCCACACCTCCAAAGGTTTGAATATTTTGTGTGTGACATGTAGAAGGATGTGAAGAATGTTTTTGATAGTTGCCTGTGGTATACAAGTAACTTTGGTGAAGCATATATTTCAGTGTTTACAATTTACCAAATTTGTCTGTATGTAACTCTATGATTGTATTTGTTTCCACCCACAGTCTTCATCCATATTGAACTTAATGGTGTCAGTATGGTATTTTGAACTGTGGAAATTGAATATCTGGTGACTTACCACACTGCATTTTGTTTTGTGTATGCAGTGTTATTAATTCCAGAAACAGTATTGTGTAAAATGTTATGTCTTTAAAGTATAGTGTCCAGTGATGTTAATTTGACAAATTATTGAAATTGTATTATCAGTATTATAATACATTTTTATTTGGACATATTTTTGTTTCTAAAATTCAAATTTGGTGACAGGTTAGCTTGAATTAAGATAGGTTGTTATAATAAAGTTGCAGGCTTTTGAAATATTTGTGTTTCATCATAGGAAATTCCTGGCTTAACTGACAACACTATCCCTCGACGCCTGGGTCCAAAGCGTGCTTCCAAAATCAGGAAATTGTTCAATTTAGGGAAGGAGGATGATGTTAGACAGTATGTGGTAAAGCGTCCTCTGCCTTTGAAGGAGGGTAAAACTAAACTGCGTAAGAAGGCTCCGAAGATTCAGCGTCTTATTACACCAGTTACACTCCAGGTAAGATATTTTATAAATGGATTTTGGCTTTTGATTTTCTTTGGGTTCAATATATATGATAAATCCCTACAAATATGATTAACCTGTTTGAAATTAGATTAAAGTCAAATATGTAAGTTGATGTACTGAACTGAAAAAATAGCAGAATTTCAAGATTTCATATCCAGAAAAGTGTTGAATTACTTTGAGTTTACAGAAATGGTTGCCATAAAGACTGGTAGTGTAGAATGTGCGATATGTTGTAATTGGCTGGAATGTAAAAGAGTGGAAATGTTTGAATTCAGATCATTTTGTTTAAAATTTATTTTTGTCTTGTAGCGTAAGAGACATCGTCTGGCCTTGAAGAAACGTCGTTCAGCGAAGCGCAAAGAGCAAGCTGCAGACTATGCCAAATTGTTGGCTCAGCGCCAGAAAGAGGCAAAGGTGCGTCGCCAGGAAGAAATTAAACGTCGGCGCTCAGCTTCATTGAGAGACTCGAAATCATCCAGTCAAAGTGCACCTCAGAAATAAATGTTTTAAGAAAGAAAAGTGAGAAATAAAGGTATCAGTTCAAATTTGGTCTCATTGTTTTTTGAGTATAACATTGTATTTTCTAACAAGCTTTTTGCATCCCAATACCTTACAAACCAAAACAGCCCTTCATGTATGCCTGATACAGGTTAGGAACTTCAGCATAAAGATGCTGGGTAGATTATAGATTACAACTCTAAAAATGGAAAATATGTTGTTTCAAATCAGAATTTAGGAAAATTTATTCAAGTTATCCCATCAGGAGAACACAGCAGGTGGATAGATACAAACATTTCAGAGGGACATACTGCATGCTTCTTGAAGGTTGAATATGGAGGCAGAATACTTCTTCAAAATGATGTCTTAAGAGTGAGAGGGCAAGATCAACTTAATATTAAAGCAAAACTGAAAGACAAACCTGCCAGATTGCACAAATTGGATGTGTTTATTGTGTAAATGTCTTAGAGAAATTTGAACTTCAGTAAGTGATTTGTGATGATGTTACAGTAATGCTCAATATTCTAATCTTTGATACAGTGGGGCATTTTAAAAAAAACAAGGTAATGCCACTAAGCTGCCAGCTATACACTTTTACAACCTTGTTCATTTAAGGAAGCATCACATTGCTTGACATTACTTGGTAATACTGGACATGTAATGCCTTTAATGTGCATTTTACGATACACAGCTTCAAGTAGTTTGATTCATACAAGAAATTAATCAAGGCATTTCAATTAGTTTTAGAAATACACTGATCACAGCTCATTTTTATTACATGTAAGACGTACAGTAAGCAATACATACACTTTCCTTGTGATTAAAGAGTTTCATGTATGTCACACCCTTGTAATTATTCATCTTAAATATAGTAATATTTGATTGGTACATATCTGCATAAATTACTAGACTTATATTAAGCATAACTAGTCAAGAATCAAATAAAGAACACTAGTGGACGTTTCCAAATTCCATTGTTATGATCATACCCAACATTTACACCAAGCTATAAACTGGCTTGTGCCAACAATCATTATATTACACTTTTCCATGTAACAGACAATGTGGCTAAATTACATATGTGTTACAATACATTGTATGGTATCTACCTGTTTTGCTATGCCACAGAAAGAAAAAGAAGTTTTGGAAAATGGCAACTCCAGCCTGGTAAGAACAATACTGGTTTAACGTTTATAAGATAGATTGAGAGGAATGAAGTAGTTATTACTGATTAAACAGCACTGCATTTCTATCAAATCTTTATATGGAAAATTAATAGCAATGTCAGAAATTCAATAAATTCCTTGCACGAGTAGGGATCTTAGAGTAAATTAGTTGTTAATCCTTCCCATGGTGGATCTGTGATGAACAGAAATTAATTCTGGCACCAAATGCCATGGTATTTATTTTGTCAGCAATGCCATCTACAGTGTAAGACTGTAATCTTCAGACTCGCGGGGTGAAGGAGGAAAGATAGCTTCAGCCTTTAATGCTTCGGACTTCCTGCATTCCTTGCAAGTCTCAAGATAACAGTCGTGTACTATATGTATATAGTCTCAGAATACAAGATAAATTATTATCCATCTCATTGTATAACATTTAGAACTGATTTTTCAAGCAACTTTGCTTGAGTTTTCCAAGGCTTGAAACAATCATCCTCAGAAACAAAACATTACATGCTTCTGTCACTACCTTTACAAAAATCATAATACTGCTGCCTCCTAAAATTATGTGCAGCCAATATCCATAATGCTTGAACATAAATTTAATTAATCATAAGGCAACATTATACAAGAAAGTGGAAACAACACAGAGAAATAATGAGCTCTGATTCAACGATCATTCTCAAAAACTCTTTAAGAAATTTAGGAAGATCTTAAAAGAATTTGTTTTGTGAATTCAAGGCAAAATGCGCTTCATATTGTAAAAGATGCTTGTGGTAGATGTGTTCTCATATGTCTTCCATATAATGGACACCACAAAACAAAACTGAAATATGCTTGTGGCAGAAAATAGAGAGAAACGTGTGATAACTTTCCGTGTTTAACCATGCACTACAAGAATTAACAATCAAATACTTCCTATTTGTTGAAGGATAGTATTATATTCCCTATGCCATAAACTTCCCCAATGAATGTGACATTCACTGCATAATAGATATTCAAAAGCTTTTATTTGAGAGATCTGAACATGGTCTTACAGGTTTAAGACCATGAGGTTGCTCCACGTGATCTGAGGTAGAGACAAAAATACTGCCTTACAGATGGCAGCTGGAAATGTGTGTCTTTTATTAGAGCTCCCAAATAACAGAAGGCAAATATTACAACATGGTGTTGGACACATACTGATTTTGCACACATGATCTCACTGAAAGGCTGACTGCAGAACAGCTCCTAGTCATATGTCATATTACAATTATGACTTTTAGTTTAAGGAAAGATCAAGTGTTGAACTCATTAAGTGCTTACATTAATGTATGCGTAATTGTAGTACAATTATAGAATGTGCAACAAAGAGCTCAGTAGCGACTTGAAGACATCTGGGCACGAATGGTGGCAGCTGCTGCATTTGTAGCTGCATTCTGGACATGTTCGTTGCGCAGAAATTCAGTTGTAAATTCTTGCTGAGCTTTTGCGAAGCTTGCTCCTGTACTACGATATATACGATGAATCTGTTATAAAGAGATAAAAAGTCCAAAAATAAAATGTCAGTAGCATCTTCTCATTACAATATGTGCACAATTCAAACTAACAACGAAAGCATGTTCAGGAAAAAAAAGCAATGCCACGAAGGCAACACCATCTTCGGGAGATATATGACACTGAAAATGTTTAGTATGTATAGCTTTAAATAGCACAGGGTTTGGTCAAATCATAACAGAATGTTCATAATTTCCTATTGAATTATATAAACCTGCAGAGGTAAAAATGAAGGGATTGCTATCACAATTTATTTATGGATACAGACATGCATATTATATGCATAGAATGAGGTAAAAGTTCCTCCATCAGTAATGCTTATAAAACTTAACTAGACATATACAATAAGTACAGAAGTATTTTTTTTACCTATAGCTCCAACTTTGAGATGATTTCCAGGAATGATAAAGCTATTGTGTGAGCCCTCAAAGGGGTCATGTACAGTCACAAGACATCTTTGAGGGATAGCGTAGAATGACTTGTTTAACAGCATTTCATCATCTTCAGGGACTATATAGCACTGAATGGTAGGATAATTTGTGAATGAAGAAGTGAAGAGGAGCAATAGCATCCATTTTTAAGGTAATATCTCAGCATTTATCAGAAGCAATGAGAACAACCATGAAAGACCATCAAAACAGCCAGTCTCCAGACAGATTCAAACCCAGGACCCAGTGAATGTGAAGAGGAGTGTTAACCACTTGACCATGATGTTTGGTAATAAGGAAGAAACTGTCTCCTTCTTGAGCCACATGGGATAATTATGTTCCCATAGCTCCAATATACCATTTGGTTACTGATAGTGCACCACAAGAAGTTAGGTGGGAGTGTCGTGGGCATGAACGGCTACATTGCATTCTTTCACAAAACGTGTCCATTTCTGCATACTCAGTGCATTGCACTATTGTAGTACAGGGCTAGTCTACATGATGTTCCCGATTTGAAAGACATACTACTCACGTTTAATGAAATTCAGATGCACAAAATTGGTACCGATGGAAAGAGAAACTCTCCAAGTTTTGTTTCAGTACATCACAAGAGTTCAATGTGAGCCCCCTTGGTAACTCGGCACACATCCAGCCTGTAGTCTAGTTCCTCCCAGACACGTTGCAGAATATCATGATCGATTGCTGCAATGACTTTCTCTTTCAGATGCAGCCCCTTTTCTTAAATTCGGAATACCACTTACAAATTGTATGCCCACTGGGTGCATCTGCCGCAAACTTGGTTCAGAAATGCCGTTGCACACTAATAAGAGACTGGTGAACATGGAAATCCAGGACACAAAAGGCTACCCTGTCTTCGATGGCAGCCATTTTCTCTCATATCGCCCCTTGCGGCGAACAGTGTTACTACACAGGTTTCCCTTTCCATCAGTACCAATTTTGTGCATCTGAATTTCATGAAACGTGAGTAACATGTGTTTCAAATTGGAACATCATTTAGACTAGCCCTGTACAGTATGTCTTGAATAGGAAAAGGTAGAGTGTGCATGCGCAATAAGATCGTCTTCTTCCCTCACTTCCATGTTCTAGCAGATTTATCATGGCATATGTACATTAGGCATAATTTAGTATTAAATGCACCCCTAAATATCCTGATATATAAAATTCCATCATAATAAGCACAGGAAACAGTTTTAATGAATCATGAACTTAATAAAGTAAAACATGGGGAAATATGAATGATTACAACTGTACAGATAAGTATGTAAATCAAGCTAAGATATAAATTACTCTGAAGAGATGATGATAACATATGGAGATAAGTAAATAACTCATTGTTTAGTTTCACTTTCAAACAATAGATACTGACATATTTAAGATGCTGTCAGTCTCATGTTTCACTGTATCACAAGTTACAGAGATAAAATTCAATGTTTTCATGTCAGGAAAGATACTTCATGCTTCCTCAATCATCCTTAGGGTGGAGTCATGAATGTGTACTGATGAGTACTGGAATGTCAGTTAAACAATGCATGAATGCCCCTTTTTTACCTACATAAAGTGCAAACATGTGGGGAAGAATAAGTTGCATTTTTTTAACCCATGTTGAAGTATGTATTTATCCTATCATTAGAAACAAGGATGACAACAGAGTCTCTATTCTGTACATTTACCTTCGATAACAGGAGCAAATCCATACAAGCTGCTGATCCAAAGCACAAAGCGATAACAAGTATGATGATTCCCACTGTAACTCCTCCAGCAGTGCTATCAAAAGTCTTCAAAGCTGTTAGCATTCCACTGAAAAAGTAAATTAAAATCAAACTCTGAACTTATGACTGAAATTAAAATATAACTTCATCACACTTTTCACTCTCTGATTACTAACCACGTGCCTGATCCAGGAATTCCAATTGTTTGAATCACAGTGACCACAAATTGGAAAAAGAAAACAAAGAAAAACACCATGAAGTTGAATGAACTGTCACTTCTGAAAAAAAAAATTACATCACATTAAAATGAAAAAATTGTGCTGTGACAAACACATTAAGAAGCCAAATCAATGACCAATATAACCAATGACAGTGCAGATTACTGAATGCTTCATCAGCACCCAATATAATAAGTCATCTAGAATCCAATGAAACTAGTCTTATTAGAGGTGACATCCTTGTCTCCTTTTTTTACTGATCCAGTTCAGAAATATAAAACTTTTACATGAGGAGAGAAAAGAATTAATCATGCTACCATTTCTCACCTAAATGAATTCTCATGATAACTGATATTGTGAAAAAAGTCTGGATGTGTACAAAAATCTGTACGTATGACTACATCATACATGAATTACATACACCACTACCAACCAAGAAAAGCAGACCTCTTCCTTACATTATATTTACAGTTTCAGGCCCCATTTGTACATTCATCTACTTTGTACCACATTAAAAATACTTTCATAATGGATTAAACACTTTTACCATTAGTAAAATTACGAGCGTATGTATAATTTTACCTGAATGCCTTATATGCAGGTCTATACCAACACAGGAATGAAAAAGGTGTGAAAAGTATAAGGTACAAGATTGACAGTCCAAATGTTGTGAAGTCAGCACTGTAGAACATCAATGTCATTCCTCCCAGCATGTTGAGAATCATCACACAAGCATGAACTGGAACAATAAATTGAAGCAACTTAGCAGCCCATGTTACAATTCAACTGTTTAATTACTTTACCTCAAATATGAGCCTTTAACAGAATAATTTTTAAGCAACACATAAATATTACACATCGTCCAGTTCATTGATCATGGCACTTTTCCATTCATGTTTCATACAATTTAAAATTTAATGTGCACATACACATTTCTGTAGAAACCAATAATTATTTATTAGAATTAATTTTATTAATTTTCATGGGAGAATGCATATCAAATGATACTTGAAGCAAGATGATATTCCAAACCAACATGCAAATTACAAATAAAATTTAGGAAAGATTGAAATTTCAATCTAAGAACTTTTACACTCAGTTTTCTTAGGTGGATGGCACACATAACAGGATGATGCACTGACACACTTTACTATACATTCTGATTCTAAATCCAGAACAAGTTAATATTTTATAATTGTGTGAAATTATACCTATATAAAGTAAAGCTTTCGCTGCGACCAAAGTTGATGAAAGACTCTCAGGCGACAAGTTGTGTCAGGGCCAGTTTCATTTCGCAGCTGCCCTGAGGATGAGAGCAGAGATGGCTCTCGAAATGGTTCATTCACCATTCAGCCACTTGACACGGCTTGTTGCCTGAGAATCTTTCATCAATTATAACTATACTTCAACATTACTGAAGAATTCAGATATCTATGCAACTCCCACAGATAAAATATTTTGGGGCAACTTCACTGCTGCTCTTATGACCATTATCAACTGCATCAGAATATGCATGTTTGATTTTCACTCCTTTCTTCTATAATGCATGTTTAAGAAACATTTTTCAACCACCTACTCCTACACTGTTCATTTTTGGGCTCTGGCAAAATAAATGCACAAAGTGTTGCATGCCATTCAAAATGCTCTTGTGATAATAAGACAAAAGACTTACACATCCAAAGGTAATACAATAATCGTACAATCTTCTGAAACTCTAAAGGTATGTCAACATTAATGTCTTGGTAGAAACATGGCTGAAAACAAAATTTTTCAGGCAGTGGGGGCCAATTGTTTCTTCTTGCTGCAATGAGGAAATACAGAATTACTGTCTTCAAAAAATAATAACACTAATATTAAGACATCTCTAGATTTAAGGCTGTCTGAATAAATTCTTTAATTCTAGTTTTCTGTCTGCCCTTGCATCAAACTCTAGTTAGATACATCTTCCCCCCCCCCTTTACATCATAAATAAAATGCTTTTGCAGGACACAAAAGTACTCAAAATAATCTTCCATTTATATGGTCATACTAGATTTTACATATATGTATCTAATTTTGTACCCAAGCACAAATTACAGCACTGACAACCACACTTTAATACAAACCAACAATCTTCCATTGTAAGCATACTATACCATTAAAAGGTGCACTTTTCAGCTCCTCTTCCCTTCTGGCAAGTTCCTGAGCTTTACGTTCCAGTTCTTCTTGTCGTCTCTGTTCAGATTAAAATAAGTATATAACTACACATTTCAGCATAGAGAAAATACCAGATATGGTAGCATAACATAATGGCCAGAATTCAGAAATGTTTACCATCCTTGCCTCAAGATGTAAGGTTACACTAAAATATACATTCTTGCATAAAGAAATGTCCAAATGCAGATCACCCAAAACAAAACTTGGTGCATACTTTAATCAAAAAACCAAGCTTTGATAACTGACTTTCAACTTTCTTATGAAGAAACATGATGAATAGTGTCAATACAAGAAAAATATTAATGTTAGATAAAATGTATAAACTTGATAAAAGAGATTTTTTCAATATCTTAGAGTAGATGAAACCAGCAGGTATCGCCACATCTAAAACTACCTAATTACATAAACTATGAACAGTTGTATTAATAAATCAACTTCAAGCTCAGATTTAAATGAGCCTGTAGCAGTAATGTTTCATATATGCTGTCTTACCTTTAATTCCTTGACATATGTAAAGAGGGAATAGAGAAAATAAATTAGTGGTTAAGAACTTATAAGCAATATAATTAAGCAAATTTCAAAATCTTCTAATTTCACCTTTTGTCAGAAAAGTAATTTGAGAGAATTTAAAAGAATTTTATATGTATTTCAACAATGTTCTGCAAGTTTATAATCTATTTCACTCCTTTCTGTGAACACACTGATTTCTCTGACAATGTCTTAATATTAATAATAATAACAATAATGATGATGATGACGATGATGGTACACACCTTCCCTTCTTCTAAATACAAGGTTCAGAAATAACTTGGACATGATGAAGAAGAAAAAATGTTTGTACTTTGGAAAATGGGAGGATGCTCTGTCTGAAAACTATGTGCCTGGACAGACCTTCCAATAGAACAAATATCATATATACACAATGCCTGACAACCCTAACTTAACCATGATAATTTTACGATTATGCAGTGAGTCAACAGGGTTAAAAAAATGTGATCATAAAGGAACACTTTGTAATATTACCATCAACAATATTAACAATATAATAATGAGAACTCAGATATGGTAACGTCATTTGTGTAATTTAATGCCAGATACCCAATTGTTGTATTATTATAAGGTTTAATAAATGTAAAATGGATGTGAAATTATTATAAGTTTAAAAAAATGTAAAATGGATGTAAAAACTTGGCATCTTACCCTCAGGGAAAAACACAGATTGAGGGTGTCTGGAAACAGAGTACTGAGAATATTTACACCTAGCAGAGTATATAACAGAAGGTTGAAGAAAAATGCATCATAAGGGGCTTAATAATGCGCACTCTTCACCAAGCATTAGCATGAACAAAATAAGGATGATGTGGGCTGGGAATGTAGCATATAAGGGAACAATGAGAAATGCATGTAACAGTTCAGTCAGAAAACCTGAAACAGACCACCTGTCAGACCTACGCATAAATGGGAAAATAATATTGTATATATCAAAAGAAACAGGGTGTCAGGATGTGGACTGTATCCATCTAGCTTGAGAGAGGATACAATGGCAAGTTTCAGTGAATGTGGTAATAAAACTTCCATTTCCATAACAGGAGACAAATTTCATGACTAGATGAGGAACTGTTAGCATCTCAAAATAGACTCAATATTATTTTCATTCTCATCTAAAACGGAAGCTATCATAGGGACAATGCAAACAATACTGTTATTATTCAGTATGGTAACATTATATATTCAGTAGACCTGTTGTCTTATGAACCTTTCAAAATTAACATCATGTAAAAAGAAACTACACTATATGAACAGGAAGCTAATACTATTACTACTGATGTGAAGACAGCAACTTGTCTATTAACTTTTCAGTGGCTTCAAGCCGAATTGATACTCTGAGTCCATTACCTGAAATTCTGCTGTACTGAACTGCTGTTGAACCTGTGGTGGTTGTTGCTGCTGCCCAGTTTTGGTGTACGGTGGTGGTGGAGTTTCCTGTGTGGGCTGCATTATTGCAGGCTGCGCTAAAGGCATTGTAGGCATGGTTTGGTATTGTGGAGGGTTAGAGGCACCTCGCACCTGCACAACAGAACAGTGCTACACAGTATAGGAGTTGAAGCTTAAACAGTGACTGAATGCAATGAAGCCTTCTCAGGTGATCAGCTGTGTAAGTATGGGGTCACAATCCAACGTTTTGGAAACTTGCTCTGCCTCCTTTATCAGGGTTGACTGCCTGTTGGAACAAATATGATGGGCAGCTGTGTCACGTCAACCTCGATAATGGAGGCAGACAGTGTAAAATGTTGGGTTGTAACTAAATGCTTACATGGCTGACTGCCAAAGAACACTTCACTTTAAAAGTTCTTTAGTTTTAAAATTATTAAATACTGTATAAAAGTTAATGTTGCATCCTGAATTTGTTATATCCATTTCTGTCCTTCAGGCAACAAATATACCAAGTTAACATAGTCATCGATTTCTGAACACCTGTATGTACGATACAAGCACAACGAAATGCAAAATATAAAAATAAATTAGTATTCATAAAACAAAAATTATATTTTACAGCAGTTGGCCGCTGATCAGCCTGATCCGCGAACGGGTTATAATCTTCAAGTCCTCTCTGAACATTGGTGATATTTGTGGTAACTTGCTGAATGGCAGGATCCTGCGAAACAACATGAGCTTACGATTATCTCATAAGATCAGTATCTTTTGTCACCTGATAATCGTCATGGTAAACTTGCAGTAAATACATACATTAAAACTAACTAACAATAAGTTCAGATGTTTGGCCTCACCGCAAATGGATTGTCCACAGTTGGTTCCCCAAAAGGGTTTTCGTCAAAACCAGACATATCTGATGCTTTACAATCACAACCGATGGTATTACTTTAATGACGTCACTCGGTGTAATTTTAACAAAAAAGAATTAATCTTATCTTTCATTAATCCATTCTCTGATGACTATATCTCACAGCCATATACTTCCGTAAGAGCGCATGTCTATGATGTCATTCATATCATCCAATCAGAAAATGCCCACGAGACGCGGTGTCATTGAATATATGTCTTCTACGTTAGAAATAGTTTATTTCAAACCAGTATACGTATATTTATCACAAAACCAGCCGGCACGATAATCACCAGATTCTGAACAAGAAATACATGAGTTTGCTTACATTTTATGACAATGTATTAACGATACTAATTACTATCGCAAAAATCAGTATCAGATATATTAATTTCTTGTTATTTCAAATTCACAAGTTGGGTATGAGGATGGCAGCTGTATAGCGGGACTACTGTAAGTACACTGTCGCTGTGTAAAGATGTCACGAGAGTCTCCAACCAAACGCAATTCTGGGTTCCTTATGGCCCCATCAGGGCGCTGCTGTGCGTTGTGTTCGCAAACCACAGGAAAACCGGATGTTATGTTACATATTTTAAACGAAAGGCGGATGAATGCACTTTGATATGTCAGAGAGAGTAAAATAAACAAGGAAAACACATTGTTCTGATTTGATCCTAACTGCATGGTGCCTTGTGCAGACTCTATGACATACACAGAATACTGTCGAAATGAGAAAAGCTGTGTGTAACAAATTTTGTCATGGGAACCATGGAAGTCAATTGAGTTTGAATCGTTTCACATGAGGTAACAGGTCTCCTACAAAACCCTATTCCGAAGGACAAGGTTTATTGTTCGGGGTTTTCCTTCCCCTGGGTAGGTGTTATCACACGGGGGAGGACCCGAAGCTGAAATCGACACAGGTGTTTCTCCTTGTAGTGAGAATATCCCCAAAGAGAGTTCTCACCGGCTACCTATATTGTAACATGCTGTAAATAGATTTCTTAACTATAAATAGTCAATGACCTAATTCGTTTGCACCAAACCATCAGTTTCAACAAACTGTAAAATTGTTTACATATTTTATTAATCCGCAAATATTATCTTTGGTCTCAACCATATCGTTAAAGCACCGTTACGTACTCTGTGGCTAGTAGTGTTGTGGGAAGTAGGAATGAGGGAAGTGTGTTTATAATACTGATTACACTTATATGAAGAAAGGGTAAGAAGAATTTTTCGGATCCTCTTTTAAGCAAGATCTACCGTGTGGCGTTTAATGCAAATTGTATATGAATTTGATTTAGGTTAATAAGTGTCGATGTTGAGATTAAATGTTTCGTGCTTACAAGTTCAGACTTGTTAAATAAGGATGTATTTAGTTACATATCTTTTGTGCTACGATTTTGCCGGTGGCAGTTATATTGTACTCATTAATTAACGTTGGAATTTATCGGCTTAAAGAGTTCAACCCGCCCCTAACACTTTGTAATATGATGTAGCACAGTGCACGACTGTAATCTTGAGATTGCAAGGAATGCAAGAAATCCGTAGCGTTAAAGGCAGACGCCATCTTTCCTCCTCACCCCGCTAGACTCAAGATTACAGTCATAGACTGTATAAGGGCCTATGTTTGGCAATTCAGGTCTATGGGAGCTGGACTTGAAGCTAGAAAAATATATATTTGAATCAGTAAACCCATACATCGGACGTAACTATACTGACGGGCCTTCATATCTGTGAATGATGCGTTCTTGTGGTGATTGTGAATAGCAAAATTCACTAATAAGATTATGGACTCTAGTATACATTTATATATGCATTCTGTTCATGAATTATGCATTGCTATTATCTCTTTTCGCAGATTTTACACTTACACTGATGCAGGAAAGTTATCAGTGACAGTGGCTAAAGCAGAAACAGAATGCAAGACTGATTTTCAGGAACAAGAGGATATAGGTGTCACAGTTGAAGAATATCAAGAGCCACCTATTATATCTCAGGACATGGAAGAAAAGTTACCAGGGAGACAGATTAAAGAAAAAGTGGATGGCAGTAGTGACAGTCAGAGGACAGAATGTATGGATATTAAACTGCTAGAACCTCCAGTTACATTTCGGGATATTGCAGAAGAGGTTCCAGTGGCACAATTGAAACAAGCAGTAGAGGACTGTAGTGATAATCAAAGGAAAGAATGCAAAGCCGCTGAGGAAGCTGATGAAGATGGTAGTTCACAAGAGACTTGTTGTAGTGAATCAAGGTAATGCAACTGCAAAATGTTCAAGCCACTGGGAGGATCCCAGATAGATTACATTTTTAAACAGTTTTTATATAAAAATATTCATTGTTGATGTCAGGGAATGATCACACAAATTTGTATTTTCTCACCAAAGAATGACTAGCAAATGAGTAGTCTCTTTTGTTTCTGAAGGTACACTCACTCAATTCCTGTCCAAGCACATAAATCAGATTTCTTACTGTGTGTGTGTAAAGTTACTTTGCAGTGTTCATTCATTGGCTTATTATTTTGTCTGTATTTTGGCAAGAATCTGACTAGCTGAGTGACTGGGCTTTTTAAAAACTGCTCCATGAATTTAATAAATTAGCAGTTTTTTGCTTTTCACACATTGTGAAGGTACAGTCTAAATTTCACTTTCATGCTAAAAGAAAATATTCATTCACTAATAAAGTTTGCCATGGCATTTGTTATCTTCTCTTTGCATCTTACTGAAGAATTATAAGCCTCATGCTGTGTGTTCAAGGCATTAAGTTATATATTCTTCTGCTGCTTTATATTTGTGCATATTAACTTTCAAGTTTTCTGGACCCTGGTCTTAAATTTAGCTTGGAAACTGCCCTGTGATTTTAATTGACCACAACGTATACTCCTTGTCTTCTGTAGTGTTGAATGGGGCAAGTTAATTTTCCTGTCCTGTAATTTTTCCTGTTACAGCTTCCAAGAAATTTATTCCACAGTAAACCAGAATGTTCATATAGTACTTGCATCTGACAGTGAGAGTCACACACTGTCTGAAGGAACTGGAAATTTGGGTAAGTCCAATAACATTGTTATTTTTTTCTGTACAGAATTTACTGTTTACAAAAAATTTCATTGAAAGGGTTGGCTTCTTGATATATAAATAGAATTGTATGTTAGATTCTTCTTAAAAACAAGAAATTAAAACTCTTGTGATGTGTGATCTGAAGCTTTTACAGCAACTAAGTATAATGAAATCTTCTCAGGCTACCAGCCATGTCAGGTGGTTTAATGGAGAAAACACCAATAATCTGAGAACCATCTTCATCCTCATGGTACTGCAGTACTTGACATGGCTGGTAGCTCAAGAGGAATTCATTATAGAACTCTGCCACGACTTTCTCTGCCAAGTAAGTGATGCTTATAATATCTTTAAAACTATATTTTTATTTTTGTAGGGGGAATCAGCCAAGCCACCACAGTTGATGTTGCTGATCTTGAAGGTGAGAGCTATCTGTAGATTTGAATTTCTGAGAAACATTTTTGAGTTATGTACAGAGTCATACTTACTAGCATTTTTTATTCTTTTCTTTAAGCATTGACATGTTCAGAAGCTGACATATTTGCCAGTCAAAGTTATCAGGATACTGAGGTTTCAGGACAGTCATCAGACACAGTTGCTGATTATTGTGACTTTGTTAAAGGATCTCATATTGGGAGGTAAGAGTCCAGTGGAATAATGAATGTTGATTTAAAACATAGGTTTTTAATTTTTATGGGTGTTTGTTTAGGATTGAAAAAGGCTTATGAACACGTGAAAAATGTTGATGTTTAATGGTGTTTGGTCATTTTTTATTGGACCATGTTTTTTTTAATGTTCCTTGATTTTTCTTGCCTCTCCATCTTTAATACTTATAAGAGGAACTATAGGGTGATTGAAAAGTCCCTGTGCACAAGTAATAATGATGGTGAACTTTCTTGTTACAAGTGTTTGTCGAGGTCATACATTTATATGACATCAGTGAGGGCATATGTGTACAGAGGAAGTTTTGAATCACTCTGTATTACCTAACTCCTTGAAGCTGAGTCCTCCGTAAGAAACTGATGGTTATTTAACTGCCAGTAATTTCCCACCTTGTATGGAATCAGAAAGTTCATTACTGAACCCATTACCATCCATATATTATACCAGTATTTGTAGACTAAAAGATTCTGTGGATAAAAGACTTTGAGAAACGTTCTTTTAAAACATTAATCTTTGTGTGTTTTATTTCAGCCAAAGTTTAATTAAATCAAGCACAGCATTGTCAATGGATCAATTGCAAGATCGCAGCAGCAATCTTGAAACATCACTTGTGAAGTTGACAAGGAAACGTAAGCATGACAAATCAGACTTGTCCGACCCTTTGAACAAATTACAACGTATTGCTGAGGAGGACAAAGAGGGCGTTCATGTAGGGCAAGTGAGCTACTTGAAGGAAGGGTCTTCACTTTGTGTTGGTGTTCTTCCTTCCTCACCTGCAGCTTCAACTAGTACTGATGATGTGGCAAAGCATAAGTCCACTGTACCAGTGGTGTCCCCTACTAAAGTAACCCTGAAAGAGAAAGAAGTACAGATTAGTCCAACAGCAAACAGACAACATTCGATAGTTCTGGCTTCACCCAAGGCAAGCCGTAAACTAATTTTTGAGACAGAAGTAGAGAGACAAAAACCTGAGTTCGTTCTTGGTCGTACCAGTAGCAAAGAGAATATAATCAAAACTGAATCTAAGACTGATAAGAAAGAGGAAGTACATAGTATAACTGCTGCTCCATCTATGCCAAGTACTAATGATTCGAGTCCTGAAATTGAAATACTAAACAGCAAGACATCAAGGCAGAGTATTGAAGTGGTATTTGTAAGCTCACATTCTCATGATTCAGCGAAAATCAGTTCACACCGTGAAATACATTCAGGAAGGAAGAGATCGTCAGGGGATGCTTTGGAAGTGGTTGACATTGAAGATGATGCATGTAGAGGGAAGGGTGTTGACACTGAAGCAGAATGTTCTGATGATGAATTGTTCCTTCACCTCTCACCTTCACCATCCCAAAAGTCTGTGGATCTTGTATCTAGGCCAAATAAGCATGGCAGTTCTCATTCAGCATCAGTGAGTGTTGATCATCTTAGCTATTCATCTTACAAAAGCAGCAATGCAGCTTCCTTGAATTCAGGTTCTGTAAGTGAAAAGGAAATGTCAAATGTCAAAAAACAGGATAAGAAGCTTGTTTCAGGTGGTTCTAGTTCAGAAAGACCTTCTATATGTACAATTCAGGAAGCAGTAATAGAAGAAGAATGTGAAAAGACTTCACACATCCAGAGCAGCGGAAGTTCTGTGTATTCAGAACACACAAATGGCTCTTGCAGTGTGACACGGAAGAAGATAGATATGCCATTTTCTTTTACTAAAAATGACATTGTTTCTCCTGAGGGTTCACCTAGTGTTACAGATTCTTTTACAACCTTCAGTAAAGTGAAAGATGTAGCTCAGATTTTGTCAGTAGTACCAAGTCAGCCTGTGGCTTCAGGTGGTAGTGAGAGTGAACTTAGAATATCTAAAAGAAAAAGGAATAATGGAAAGGATGATATTCCAGTTGTTAGTATAGTAGGAAGTGATAGTGAAAGTGATTGCTATTCTACTCCATCAGAAGAACAAAAGAAGGCAAGGACTGAGAATGGTGATGTGATGAATGGACTCGAGGACACTCCCATAATTTTATCTCAGGAGCCCACAACTGTTCTTCAAAAGGTAATTTATCAGTTATATCATTGTTTTTATTAACACATGACTGTATTGTACTTTGGCCACTTTCTTTGTATGTCAGACCACTCTGAAGAAAGCAGATGTGAATACTGAATTCATCTGACTCTGAGAAGTTCTCACCTTTAAGAGAACCCCATAAAATCAGAAGCTTAAAAATAAAAATATCCACACTAGGTCTTCTTTCCACCTACCACTTAACCAATTTGCTACTGGCAAGTTCCCCCCCCCCCCCCCCCCCACACACACACACACAAGAGTAATATTGGCCTGCGACCACTCACCCCTTTCTAGTGTTGAGGTTGAGAATGAGTAGGAGCTATACCTCCTCCCCTCTAAGTGCCAACATAGCCATGTAACAGGATGATGTGTGAGGCTGACTGCTACCCTTCTCTTATCTTTTTCCAATTATAATCTTGTACACTTGTTTTGATAATGTATTTTCTCTAAACTGCACAGTTGTTGATTCATTTTGCAAATTCAGTTGTCACAATTTAAATAGCTATTTATGGAACTGGTATAGTATTGTGAATGTCTCATTATTATATATTCATATTCACACCGAACACAGCAATGATAAGTGTAACATTCTCTTCTCTCTTATAATAATCTGACTGTATTCAGCAATTGGAAACTGTATGGTGCTAAACTAATTGCGGCAAGTCAAAAAGTGTTCATGTCTTACAGACTGAGGGATTCAGACAGTAGCACAGCATGGTTTCCCTTAAGTGGTTACAAATTTTTCAGTGTGCTCTTTTTTAATTTAGAATGTTTTAAAGAAATAAATTTCCTTAGCAAGCAAGTTTAGTTAGTATTTTGTAATGTATAGTCATCAAAACGTCTCTTCAAGTAACGTCTGTTCATAGCTAATTCTGTCTTAGGTGATATAGTTAAACTGTAAGGTTAAGTGCTAGAAGGTTATAAGTTAGAAGTATTCCATGGTAGGTAATCATGAGGTAAGTTTGTGGTTTCTTTTTCAACAGGGAATCATAGGTGTATATTCTACACCACAGACGGACCAGGCGATCATACCAGTCAAAGAGTCCAGTGCAAGCAGCATTGAACAGGTAATTAAGGGAGATTACAGATTTATAGCATGAATTGAATTCTTCTTGGTATAAGTGTAGTAAACATCTCACGTAATTTGTTTGTAGTGAGTATAAATATCTCACTTACTATTTTAAACTTTTTAAAATTTCTGCAAAGTTTTATTTTTTGCAGCAGAGAAAGTTTGGGATGTGGTATTCTGGGTTATGATGTAGTTTTATAGGACATTACCAGTTTTTTGAAGGAACCTGCCACATCCTACCCTGAAGATGGAGAAGATAGATTCTTTTGAGTCTTGTAACCTATTACCTCCATCATCTAGCCTGAAAATGTAGGCAGTAGGTTCCTCCAAAACGTTGGTAACCCCCTATAAAATTATACAGAAGTTAACATTCAAAATAGATGAGATTTACATCAGAATTGTGCAGTGGTCTTATTTTCATTTTTAAGGATTCTACGCATGGAAGTGAAACTGAATGGGAAGTTATCCTGAAAGTTAGAGTAAAGCACATTAAGCAACATGATAAGGATGTCTACAGGCTGCAACAGGTGAGGAACAGATTGTTATGCTGAGATATCTTAGGGTTGATCACTGATGGTTTTGGCCTTATGCTGAATATATTGGATTTAATTTAATTTAATTTAATTTTGGCTGTGAAATTATGTTTGTGGACCTAAAAATATGGTTATATACAACATGAACCCATCCTAATTCGTATCTTCAGTTGTTTTTTATTGTGTTTTCAGTAGCTACAATGTAGTATAGCCTCAGATGTGCAGTTTGATTGGTAATGCTGTTAGAATGATTAAAAATATGTAAATGGCTCTCATATCCATTATCCATAATAAATATAAAGTGTAAGAAAAGTGGAGAATAAGTCAGGCATGGTGTAAATTTTTTTAAGGTGACAGTGTAGTAAATATGTTTTAATATTTAAATATGTTTATTTTAGTGTGAAGATATTACAGAAGATCTTACTCATTTTACTACTAGAAGACTCTCTGATTGTTCTTCCTTTGGTGGTTTGGGTGATGTATCTTCCAAGAACACTTCTCCTAGTAGTACAACAAGGTCTGCTAATCATGAAATACATGCATGATGCCTGGTAATTTAGATTGCTTTTAAAAAGTGATTTGCATGCTTTTAAATGAATTATATGGTAATTGGATCCAGTCTTTGGCCAAATTTAGGTGCAGATTATATATCTAGATTATCTGTGTTGTGATTTACCACTTAGGAAGGTTGAGAACTATGAGAAATATAGTAATATGGTTAAATAAAGCAAAAACTGATGATATTATTACAGAGACTATGTTTTTCCATTATGATGCATATATATGGTGTAGAAAAGTATTTGTTGGTTTCAGTTTATTACAGTAGAAAGAATTTGGTATGGTCATACATGTGTGCAGTATGAAGATGACCATATGCCCTATATGAATTTGTGAAGGTTGCTATGTTCTGAGTTGCTGAGCCATGTAGTCTGGTAGAAGTTTCCTGAACCGTGTACCACTTACATTATGAAAACATGTTTTAGGAATGCCTCTTCTCACTTTGTCAACCTTGCATTGTGTTATATGTATAGTCTAGCTTTATGTACGTCATAGCACACTGATTATGGAAAATTAATTACTTTTGCATTATATATTTTTCTTTATGTAGTTATATTTTCTGCTACATTTGTCAGCTTTCCTGTGTCTCTGAGTAGTCTTTGATCTCAGAAAGTTCAGTTTTATTCTGTGTGTTGTGAGGGTGATTCAGAATTTCACTAGTCTGTTCTTACAGATTTGATGTGATATAAGTATAGAGCATTTTTTATGTGTAGTGGTCCTGGTCCGTTTGCATTACCACCAAGCAGGATGTCATCATTTTCCACGACATCCAGCAGTTCAGTGTCTTCAGGAAGCAGTTCTGTTATACACAGAGGTAAATGTTATCTTTTTCTGTCTATAACTTCTGGTTTCAGCTACCTCAGGATTTCTCCTAGTTAGTAAAGAACAATGTAACCTCTTCACTTATTGACCTTGGTTAATCTTATCTGTGGTTGCAGTACTTTTGCAATTGAAGATAATCCAGCTGGTTATTCACAAATGTCATTTTCTATTGCAAGTGATTACTCTGATATTTGGTTAAGAACTTTTAGTTTTGTAGTGTAATTAATGTTTATTCAACTTCTTTTATGTGTTAGCTATGGGATATAAACATGCTATGGATAGAGGTCCATTTGTAATGCCACATAACCCTTGTCCGAAGATATCTAGGGACCGATCATTTCGAAGTGAAGACATTCTTAGTGGAATTTGGCCAAGCACTCACAGCTCTCTTGTAGAGGGTATGGAAATTTTGGAAAGAGTTATTGTCATCTCCCATCCAGAGAGTTCTGAGAGAGTGCAGGGAGGAAGTACGAAAGCTGATAGAAGTGACAATGGAAGAAAAGTTGATGTCCAAAAGCTAAGTGATATATCTGTATCAGAAGATGGTCTGGTAGTTATGGAAAGAACAGATGCAGGAAGTACCAACCTTGCAAATAGTAATGCAATATCAGTTTCAGCAAATGTCTTGAAGGAAACACCAAGAAGTACAGTAAAACAATTAAAGGGGGGCCGATCAAGATCTTCAGTAAAGAAACGTTCCATATCACTTTCATTTCCAAAAGAGAAGGAAAAGGAAACTGTAAATCAGGAAAACGATGTTAGTGAACTTACATGGAGTGTTGAGAGGAAGAGCAAGAGAGGGCAACAGACTCCTGTACAGAACAAGACACCAGTTACGCCTTCTGTGCAGGAAGCAGTAACTCCTACTCCAATGTCAGAAATGAAGGGGAGTTCAGATAAGGTCCTAAGGAATCTTCCTGGAACTCTTGAAGCTTCATCTGCAGTATTATATGGCAGTCACCTGAGGCCTGGTATGTTAAATGTTTACTTATTGGAATGTTTTGAACATGATTTTCTGAATAGGATAACCTAATAAGTTAATATCCTGGAGCATGTTCCTTCTTATGAATCTTACTGTTACTTAGTGGTTCAAGGAAGTCTATACCTTCTGTGAAACCCAGAGGTACATTACTATGTTCAGAGGGGTCCACCATGTACCCTGTCCTGATTCGGTTTAATCCAGTGTAAACCCTCACATCCTGTCTCTTTTAGATTCATTTGGAACTTTGGTTGCAAATTATTTAGATTATCCGTATTTCCAACTCCTTTTGTCCAAGATGCATTTTTGAAACCATGTTCTTGAAACATCTTTGGAATAGGTTATAATATTCTTATGTGTTATTGAACACACTTTAAATTTAATAATTATGTTGTTATTTTTATAGTGTTCATTTAATTGAACATCTGATTGTGTGAGGCTGGTATAACACTAAGATGGCTGTCTCCTGGGTTGTAGCTCTGTGTAGTCTGGTAGAAGTTTACCAGCATTTCAGAGGTACTTGCTGCCTCCATCATCAGGGTGATGAGTAAATTGTGCGCGTGTAAGAACCAGTCAAGTTAGAGCCTAGGCTGGACCAGTGGGGAGTAGAGTCAGGATTGGATGAGGGCCTGGGAGCGAGTAAGAGAGAGGGAGATATGCTACACCCTGGCTAGCAGCAGGGGGAAGGGCATGAAAGAGTGAGAAACTTCTACCATACTACACAGTTCTACAACCCAGAAGACAGCCATCTTCACTCTCATCACCATGGAAACCTTGAATCCTACTGTTTCACAGGTGCCCCTGTGTTTGCAAGATGGATAGACAAAAATTATTATTCTGGTGTGCTAAAAGAGCAAAATAAGGATGGACGTTGGATGGTGGTGTTTGATGATGGAAAGGACAGGTTATTAGTGGAAGACTTTATTATTGTGGTGGACATATTATCCAAAGGACAGCTAGTGTATGCCCTAGCTGAAGATGAAGATTATATGTCGGGGATTATTGTAAATGTTCGAAAGTAAGTTCTTTTATCCAGTTCTTTAAGTTTTATATAAGGTGTATTTAGTTATTAGTGAGAAATTTTATTATGACTAATACCATATTTCATCATATAATTTCTGCTGTAATGTATAATTTGTACTATTCTTTTTATTTTTAAATTAAGAAGAAATCTTACATATTGAAGATTATCATCAATAAGTAGTGTTATACCATCATTTGACAGGAATAGTAGCAGATCTAAAGAATTTCAAGTTAACAGCTGGGTATTTATTGTCTGCTGTGTGGTTTGGAGTGTTTTGTGTCATATGTCAGATATTTTTTATGATTTGTTTTTAAGAAATTTAATGATGTTGGATATGAGCTTCATGAGTAGTAGTGGACCAGTATGGATCCAAATTAGATTTTCCATTACTTATTTTAGTGTAGACCTTGAATATAAATATCATCAGATTACATTAAGTAGTTTTTGAAATGAAACAGAGACTGATAAACCTTCTCTAAAAACTTACAAGCCTGATTTCCTTCATGTGCATCATTGCCACTGGTACACATTCTGACCACATTAAAATTGCTTTATAAAACCTCAAAATTTATGCCACCACATTTGTAGTTTTTAGTGGAAAAAAGGCATTTTTCCAGAATATGTGGGTATTTGCATGATGTGTCTCCAATGGTTTTTTCTTATCACCAAGTGGAAATCAGAATATAGGTTGTGTGTGGCTGTCATATTGAGAACTGCACTAGTGTCACTCTCACACCTTGAATGCTCATGGGGCAACCAGGTTTGTATTGATGACATGAAATTTTAAAAGTATTAAGGTGGAGTGGCTTCTGTAATAACTTTATGTTCATACGAAGTTTTATTAAATCTGTTGAGTAGTTCAAACATTACGATGGAAACTGCTTGATTTGATACAGCTTGTATTGGCTTCGTGACATGAAAATTGACATTTGCATCTGCTTCTCACTCCAGTGCAAGAAGTATGTATTTATTGTGCTTATTTTCAGAAAGCATACTGATGTTATGTATTCTGTGGAATTGGATAACGGAGTTTTTGTTACTGTGTCTCGATCATCATTGTTTATGACTGAAGACCAAGCCAAGATCCTGAGAGAGACTGTACTTACAGCATCACCTATGATGAGCACTCATCGTATGGCAGATGTCAGTTTAGGTGAGAGCAGCTTTTCCTATTGCTAAGATTCTGACCAGATTGTATTTGGTCATGTATGTGTCCCTATTTGTGTCATTCATCACATCGACTCAAGATGATGGAGACAGTCTCCTCAATACTTGAAAGTAGCTACATTTTCACATAGCTCGTCCCTCAAGAATGTGTTATTGTAGTTATTATGTGTTTTGTAGATACACAGAGCTGTTTAACACTTTTGAAGTATTTCTCTTGCAATTTGGAGAATAAAAGTCTTTTGAGCATGTTATCTGATGTGTAATATTGAAGATTTTACCCCATTTCTAAAGGAATGTTGGATTCAGTATACACTAATTTTCTTCTTTATTTACTATTTAGATAATGTGCTAGAAGGAAAACGAAGCAGATTTCGCGGCAGGGACGTAAAGAATAAATTTGATTCTCCTGGTGTGTCTGGTGAGTCAAAGGCTACACCTAAGAAAAAGGCTTATAGTCCTTCTTTGTAAGTAAACCTTTACATATTTTTTTATTCAGATATGAAAATTGGCATGTGATAAATTTATCATAAAATTGGTAGCTTTGAATGTGAAGTTTTTATGTATCCCCATATTTATCTGACTTAAGGATAAGATGGCCCCTTTCACAGTGGAAAATTTTGATAGGAAAAACAGTTTCCTTCTTCAGATCAAATTCTCAGGTACAGTTCTGTGGCATAAATATAATTTTCCTCTCATAATGATATATTTTCAGTTTACAGAATGCCTTTTTTAATAAAAATTTTCTAGTGGTATGATCAAAAACTAGTCTTCAAGAGTCTTAATTCGAAAAAGGAGACAAATTTAATCTTTACAGAACAGAAAGTGACACAAGCTCTGCAATTGAAGATGTTGATGGTGTGGAACGAGAGAGTTTGGGTCGTGAAATCAAGTTCAGGAAGGTGAAGGGTCAGGGCAGGATGGCTCCTAAGAAGAACTGGGGTAAGCATCAAGGCATCATAGTGACCAAGAAAATAGTTTCCAGCTAAAGTATAGAGGACATCAGTGTTGATATAAAACCACAATCCATATTCAAGGACAGTCAGATAACAATTTGGTTTGGAATAAGGTTTGTCCATTTGTTCTGTTCAGTGGCCAATTATAATTATTTATCTGATACGTAGTCTCCTTATTTTATTTGCATTATTTTTTGTTTAACTGTCACTTTATCTGAATTCATGATTTTTGCACTATATTACTTTGTAGTCACATCCACTCCAAACAGTTTATCAAAGTATTTTATAGAGGTTCGCCACTTCAAACAAATTGGATGGTATATAAAATCCTAAAATTTGAAGGCTTGTGGATCTTTCTTTTTCTTTCTCTAGAAATGCTGATAAGTACTGATAGGTATCTGGTATGTTCATTATTTGGACTGTAGTTTCCATAAGCAGCTTTTGAGTAACAGTATTATTCGTATTGCTGTATTTTAATTTCAGATATTTTGATGGGGCCCATACCTCCTGAGGGCAGCAAGATTTTTGCTGGAAAGTTTTTTCTTTTGACACGCAGTGATGTGAAACAAAAGTATTCAAGCAGGACTGATTCAGAAGGTAATTGTCACCCTTTAATTTTCAGAGTGTTTTAATGTGGCAATCTGCATTTTTGGCTTAGAATTTTGTACCAAACATCATCCATCTTTCAGTGTCATAGTTTTTCAGGAAGCTCCATTTTTTAAAATTCCCTCCTTTGTGCACTGTACAAGCTAATTTAGGCCACAATGAATTACTTGTGTCCTGGTTCCTTGGATGGGAAGACAAGTATAAATGAAGATGAGCTTTCATTTGTAATTAAATTAGTTTAATGTGTGAGAAAAATTTATTATAAAAATGCTATTTAAAACTGCAGGTGTTGTGTCATAGCAAAGAAGCACACATGTATGAATGTTTCAAGAGAGTTTGTAACTCCAAAAAATATTCATAACTTTTAAATTAAAATGGAATCCTACCTTTACATTAAAACGATACCCAGTATCTTCATTTTTCACAAACGATTAAAATGTACACACATATCAAATTGTTTTGTTTATAATTTGTTTTTATTGTTATTAATTTAATGCATTTTAATTTATACACCTTGTCTTAGAATTTACTTTCATTTTTTCTTCTGGCTTTGTGTTTCTTTCTTTCAGCAAGTCAGGGAACAGATTATGATGATGATACATCTACCATTTCATTCAGTAAATCATATTTAACTGATCAAATAACAGCTGGAAGTGGAAAATTGTGCAGTAGATTTGAGGATGTTCCATCAAACAAGTATGATTCATGCTATCTAATAACTGACAGGCCGAATCAGACGGCAAAATTTATCCTGTGTCTTGCGTATGGAATTCAGATTGTTTATCACACGTGGGTCACTGAGTGCTGTATGGTAAGTGGGATGGATATTAAAGATATAGATTTTTACAATATAAATGTATTTGCAGTTTTGAAAGGTTTGTGGCATTGGCAAAGTGTCATTAAAGGGGAATTATCTTGGAAGTTGTCCATTGTCTGGCAAAAAATATGTATGTACATAGTGAAGATTTCTGTCTTCTGGGTTGTTGCGCTGTGTAGTCTGGTCGATGTTTACCAACGTTTCAGAGGTCATACTGTCTCCGTCATCAGGGCAATGAGTATGAAGATTTCTGTCTTCTGGGTTGTTGCGCTGTGTAGTCTGGTCGATGGTTACCAACGTTTCAGAGGTCATACTGCCTCCGTCATCAGGGCAATGAGTATGAAGATTTCTGTCTTCTGGGTTGTTGCGCTGTGTAGTCTGGTTGATGGTTACCAACGTTTCAGAGGTCATACTGCCTCCGTCATCAGGGCGATGAGTATGAAGATTTCTGTCTTCTGGGTTGTTGCGCTGTGTAGTCTGGT